CTTCTCAGTTTCCAGAACTGATAAATATTTATCAAGCATCCTTTTATTATGTGACATGCAGCGGTAGACACTATGAACTAAACCCCTTGTTTTGTATTCTATTAAGCTGTATAAATTAATATGTGAGACAAGCCTTTTTTGCTTGTAGCAGTCAACTGCATGGTGAATGAGGTAAAGCAACCTAAATTAGTTGACTATGACTTGAATTGTAGCCAAAATTTTAAGTCTCTGTTTCTATTTAGTTTGAATACATACAAAAAGTTCAGTAAACATCAAGGAACCTTTAAGAAAATAATAAAAACCTTCACAAATGATCCATTATTTTCTCAAATAAAACTGTCCTCTTTAAGTCTTCTCATGTGCATCCACTGCAAAAAGCAACTTACCAGGTCAGGTCTATCGCAAAGCAGAGACAGCATCATTTAATGACAAAATATGACAGTGGAATCTATTTCCACTGGAGCTGGTGACTGATCTTTACCACTAAAACTTAATTAACTTAGCCTAGGGCGCATTTCCACTGGAGATGGGTTGATCCTTCTCTGGTACCAGCTCAACTGAACACAGGCAGCCAGTTTCCTATCAATCCATTGATCTTATGACAGAAATTCCCCTCGTTTGAAATCCTCTCCTATCTGACGGCAGCCAGGTAGACCACGCTAGGCATTAGTTGAATGATTGATCAATCAGAACTCAATTTGCTGTAAGTAATCAAGTCATTCATCTATCAGTACCCACAAGGTGGAGAACGGTATTACCAGGATGATCGTTTAATACAGATTAATTCACTTATGTCAATGGCAGACATGTGTAATACTATGAGAATGGTATATGGCCGAGTCTATCCATCTTGCGTCTACTTCATTACTCCTTGATTACTCTCATTAGAACAAATAAGGTGCCATGTTCTATCTTGATAAAAAAGAAAACACACACACACACACACACACACACACACACACACAGCTATACAGCAAAAGGCAATTTGATTGCATTACATCATGCAGATCTCCCAAACATTACCAAATCCCATCAGAGTTTTCCTCGCCATCAAAGTTTCGCTCAACCATTTCCAGATGCCATTCTCTTAAGCCATCATGTCTAGTACCATGTTAATTGTGTTAGCCTGTTAAAAGGAATAGAGAGCAGGAGGAGACAGTGAGAGGATAGTTCAGTTAGTAATAGCTGGAAGTGGCAGTGTACAGCATACACAGTTGACAACTAAAATGCCTAGATCATGTTGAGACTGTGGTGACTTCACAACCACACTGCCTTGCCCATCACGACAGGTTTTAGTGTCTAATCACAGAAATCCTATCTAATCTCTCTGTTGACCCACTTGCTAGCTTTGTAACTGGAATTAGTTGCATGCTTTGCCTAAAGGACAGGAAGGTTAGAAACCAGATTAACCGGATGGCCGGGGGGGGGGGGGGGGGGGGGGGAGGGTTGGCAGGTATCACAGGGACTGCCACAGAGAGGGGAAGAGAGGGTTGAAGACAAACACGTCGTTAAGTCGACTAGGGACCAGTGTACCCTCATCATNGGGGGGGGAGATAGAGAGATAGAACAAAGCACAATGTTGACTGAAAGGGGCCACTGTCAATCAAAATCTAATCGAGATTCTACGCAATTTCAGATACACATTTGTATTCCCCAAAGTAATAAAATCAACACATCTTCTATTATTGGGTAAATGAATAAAGTGCTACTCTGGTATTCAATCCCATTAATAAACCTATCCTGACCTGTGTTAATTCTACCCCAATGATGTCATCTAACACACATCAACTCTTGACAATTTTAAAATTACAGAGCATGCGTCCATGAACACATGAGTTAAGTAAGTGAGCAAGACCACTGACCGTCCACTGGCCCTTGTCCAACAACATGTTAACTACTTACAATGATCACCTGTGCCAGTTTACCATGGCCCATAGGAGCCTGTGTGGGGTTATTCATGAGGCGAAAAAAACCCTGAAATGCTGACCTTGCTGTCATCAGTGTTGGCTGTCCATCTTTTAGTTGACAAAAAATCTCAAGAATTTTTTTTTCAGGATTGACATATATTTAGGAGAAAAAAAAGTACTGGTATTTAAGATCTCAACCCAATCATGGTTTCCAACTTTTACTTTAACAATACTTTTTATTTTTTATTAGTGGTGGCTGATGACCTTGGAATGCTCTCTCAATTCCAAAATTTGAGAATATAGGTCATTTGTGTGTACCCAATAACAAACTGTGTTT